TTATCTCAAATAAATATTTTAAAAATATTATAACAAACGAAAAGATCCATTAAAATAACCTCGAAACTACTCATTCTACACACTATTAGAATGAAATAATGACCACCAATATCAGTTGCATTAAATAAAGCTTATACGGCAACATGCCGGATACCGACAGTTGATTAAATGAATTTCTACCATGACAGTAGGTGAATTAATAGATACCTGTCTCCTTGAACAGCCTTCAAGTAGCCAAATGCAGAAACCAGACTGTATAAGATATTGTTTCTTTATGTAAGAGAAAATAAAAATATTAATAACATCGTTCCGTCATTAAACCCATTTCCTATTGAAAGTGGTTTTCATCACGAATCGGTGTCAGTTTAGAATTTGGTGTGCACTGCTGGGGACAAAACTTGGGAGTGTACAGAAATCTAGTGCTCTTTTTAATGACTGTTCTCAAGCAGTATAGTTTTATAGCTCAGTTGGCACAGAGCCGGACCGGTAACCTAGTGGTCACTGTTACAAATCCTAACACAACCCAAATTTTTGCCTCACTTTCAATCATCCACTCAGTATCAGTACAAGTCTCCTAAACTCTGACTATCTCAGATAGTCAAGGCAAAGCTTCCCCTCTCTAACTGAAGTGGGTTTGGATTTGGATGAGAAGTTCTGACTAAACAGCAAGTGTGAGTGCGATCAACCGATAGTAATACATCAAGAATTAATATGATAGTCAGGTAAAACACTTGATGATTGAATCGGAATAAAAATCTGGCTCGTGCTCAAATTTCGTTGCTCATTTGATCTGGCATCAAGCGGGTAACTCGATTCGAAGCACCCCCACAACCCAAATTCTTATTTCACTTTCAGTCATCACCCAACATCAAACAGTTTTAGTAACTGCCTTTTAATAATGCTGTCTCTACAAATTCGAAACTTACTTATCCGTTAGTATTTACCTCATGACAAGCGGTGGCATTTTTACTTCTTTTAGGTCTAGAGTACTCAAACCCTCGACAGTTGGAAGTAATTAACGAGAATTAAACAGCAAATCTGCACTACAAAAATCATTGAGGCATATATGTGTTTAACGTCATCACATAATAATTTATCTCAATAATGCAACTTTAAATTCGGAGTATGTAACAAATGTTTAAAACATTTATATTAACCTATGTTTCTTTCGTTTTTCGATAATAATAAAGTTACTTAACTTCCCAAGCACTCAGCGTAATAAATTTCCGGAATAAAGTATCACAGCGTTAATCATGACTTCATCTGTTCATATGCTTCAGCAAAAAGTGAAATCCTCAGTCATTCATGGAGCTGAAGGATAATGGTCTAGCGTGCATCATATCAGTTTAAAGTTTAGAGTAAACACAAGAAACATTCTGCATAGCATTCCAACTAATAAAACTCAAACAAATTCTGTTTAGATTTAACTAGACAGTTGATAGAACAGAAAATAATTCAGTCTCTGTGACTGCAGCAAATACTTTCGTCACAGCTGGCAAGAAACTGCTTCAAGAGAACTAGTGAGATTTCTAACTTAAAGAAAAAAAATAATACTAGGAGAATATCCGTGTAAATATTCGATGAAACATCATATTCCAGTGTTTACAATGAAGCACAACGCCAAACATTTGAAAAACTCCCGAAAAATCATGCACAAGGCCCCTCAGTTCGACAAATTCAAGCTACGTAGGTGATATCTTATTTTGTTCAGTATCTCGAACAACTTGGATGTATTAATTTATCAGTATTTCTGCATGCTTACTGTTGAGACATAACCATGAGGAGTTGTTATTTGATACTTACAATTTACTGTTGGTATACAGGGTTCCACCACTGTTGACAGATGATCTACAGTATGGATGGGGATCTACTGCAGGGTATTCATGGTTTTTTATGCTTCTTGGTAACTAGCAGTCGAATCCAGGATGCACGTTTTGTCCTTTTCGAGACTCGTCACCTAGACGACCCTATACCCTCGTGAGTGTTGCTATATCCGCTGACAACTGAAGCCAATACCTACTGTTTCAAACCCCGAAGAGTTGTACACTAGGTGGTAGCCTTCGTACCTCAGACAAAACTCTGATGTTTGAAGCGATAGAATGCGGGTGCATCTATCTGATAAGCCCAAAATTTGACGAAACGTGCATCGTGGAGTCCGCTGCTAGTCACCAGGATGGATAAGATAATAAACACTTCTCATTATTTTGTGACTTCAAAAACATGAGCAAGTTCTATTCGGATCCCTAAAATATTGTTGAAATGATTATCATTTTGATCAGTTTGAAAATCTCGATATCGATAATGTCTGCACCAGTATTCCTTGTAGCGTAGGGAGACAATCAACCTTTTCATGAAAATTGAGTATTCGAAGTCAATGTCCGTAAAGCAATCACTCAATATACACCAACTGTTTTCTATCACAATTATTTCTTGTTTGTATCACATTCACGTTAACTGGTCTCCATAATACGTTTAGAATCCTTCAGTGAGTAAGTCACGCAACTTATACTCAATGCGCTGACTCACTTAAAGCGGATTAATTTAGGTTCATGAGAAATAAATCTTCCAGAAAGAAAATGTGAAGATTAAGTGGCACACAATAAAAGTATTTGAACGATTTAAAATACCTTGAAAAACATCTCAGTGTACTCAAAATGCTTCATTTTGGATGCATCATCATGAATTTAACGAATAATTCAACATTCTAATTGTAATTTAGAAAATATTCGTTCCTAGTTTTTAAATTATTAAGAACAGCCAATGAGTATAGTCACAATAAATATCACAAAAACAGAAGTACTCATACAGAATGTGATCATCGCTTGATCAAATGAGTTCATTTCATTGTGACTTTATATCAATAAATATAATCAGGTAGATAAGTTACATTACGAAATGTCGAACAGTTAATAATACTGATTTACGTGAAAAATGAATAAATTATGCATGGACAACAATGAAGTAAGTCAACCACTGTGATGTCGTCAGTAACTCAGAAAAACTTCCCTTCCAAACACTGCAAAAAACCTAACACATAGAAAAGCAGTTTACTTCGAAGTTACTGCTTTCGTTCACAAAAATAGGTCACACCGATGAAGAAGAAAACTCATGTTTTAAATAAGATGGTTCAAATATATAATTCTCTTTAACTATACAAAACACTGTAATTCATAACATCGATGAGCAGATCTTCAGGTACTAGAAACCTAAAACATAATCAATAAGGTGAAAACATAAGTAGTATATAAAAAATAACATGGAAACAAAAAGCAACATAAATGTGATTTGAAAGATTCCACTAACTAACGGTGTATAATTTAATGTAACATAATTGGAAACAAATAATAATCAACTGTTGATCAGATTACCACTTCGAAAAACTTTGGAATTATGTGAAGTACTCTCCAAACCAATTTCAAGGAACAAGTAAGAGAGGTTAAATGTCCGCAGATGACAAGGAGTTCAAGAATAGATTATATATACCAGGACATAGTATACATGTACCGTATATCTGTATGTACTTCTGAATTTGAATACTTCTGTGGAGAAACTTACATGAGACTTACAACTAGGCAATCTAAAAAACATCGACAAACACCCAAATTCAATAGGTGATGTTTTATGGAGCTCTATTTTATTGTACTTCCTTAAAATTGGCCACACACTGAATTAACTAGAAGTAGTAGAAACAATTTACTGCTTCTCACTGACCCATGTGGTTGGTTCAAGAACTCACCGCTTATATGCAGCTAGGTAAGAAAAAAATGGAATGAATAATCCTAACCTTTGTATTTGAAAAATACTTTTGCGAACTTTCTCCTAGTATTGCCTAAGAAAAGTACAATGATAATCTTTTCTTCAGACCTGAAAATCCCCATCATTCCAGCTTGGCATTTATCTTAGACTGACGTCTAATTGAAAATCAGTGGAAACTCGGGATCTCTAGAAAGCTGTGTCGTCTTAGCATGGTAACCCTCAGCAGTGCACATCCCTGACCCCACCCTCCAGGGATCGAACCCGCGACGTTCAGGTTCTGCTGCCAGGACATTTCGATTAAGACACTGGACCAAATTTCAATGGTTCATATTTTCCACTTCTATCTGTTTACGAAATAGAGTGACCTCTAATGAACGCCACTGTGGAGTATCTGTCCTTATAACTCCCCTGGCTGAACCCATTGGTCACGACATCTCATTAGAAACTTCAAGAATCAAAGTGAGTCACCAGTGAGTACAAGAATTATTCAGTTTGGAATTTCATAAGAGTTTGTATATTGATTTCGGATTGATATTCATCATGGACTGATATCAACTGGAGAGCCATTGAAAACCTGGGAGAACTTGATAGCTGCTCCGTCATTGTATGGGACCTCATAGAAGTGCTCATTCATGAGCCTGTTCTTTGCATTTTTGTTTTTCACCACTTCTATCTACTTTATTTATTCATCCTTAAACTTTAGTCGTCTATTAACTTCATCCTTTATTATCATCCAACTCTACAAGTGGTTTGTTACCTCTGATATCTTTTATTTGTTTACACAGCTCTTAAGATTATTATGTGATTCTCAATGTTCTCATTATGACATCTTAACATTGCTTTTACCATTCTGAATTGTTTAATTTTCATCCTTGTTACAACTCACTGAAAATACTTCATAATAGTCTTTAAATTAGGAATAAATAATATTCCTTACAGTAAATGGTTCAGAAAACTAGATTTATATTATTTGGTTTTTTTAAAATATATATATATATGAATAGAAGACTACATGAAAAATTTTGCAGAAGGCTGCTTTGACGTTGATAAAACTCAGATGCAATATCTGTTCGTTGAGATAATTTTGATTTCAAGGGGGTCTAAACATGTACTTATCAATTCTATATACGTTTTACATTTTCAATATATGTCTCCTCCTTTACGAACTTGCTTCCTAATAAAATGAGGTAATATGTGATACCTAAAAATCTACAGTGAAAAGATTTCAGGGTGACTTGTAGATTGTTAACAATTTGCATGTATAACTAACATTTTACTAGCCTGAATCACATCCGTTTAAAATTTAAGAAAGCTGTGCAGCCGATGCCTATGTTCTGCTAATTCTGACAGCACAAAAAAAGGGATTTGTATAACTCAGAAAAACAACCAACTTGGGCATCTACTTTTATTGATAATGTTTAGGTGCAGAAATGGAAGAATCTCTATTGAACTGCTGATTTACTCTACAAAATCATCTGATAATAATAAAGCGTGAATAATCAATGATAATTAACAGCAGTTTTGAACATGCTAAACTTTGATTTCATAGTTCCAGATATTAATTTTGTCTATTTAGGACAGCGGAGTCACAATCAAAACTAAACTTTGCTTTGTGAGTCTTTTTATGAATATCTAATGAATTATTGAGTTAAACTTTACTTTTTTTTTACCATAAATTATTGTTAAATTTGATTCTATAATAAAACATTAGCAATTTTATTAAAAGCACTTAGCATAACCCATTTAGGAATTACTTTTGATGGGATTAGATGTAATGGGATATTGTAACCGGAGGCAGAACAGGTACTCAGATAACATATGTCCATGAAGTATGATTAATAAACCTTTTATAGGATTCTAACAGACAGACACTCTGGAAATAAATAACGGATGGAAAGTTACAGTTTTCCAGAAGTCGCCCAAACTTCAAATAATTCAATTTGTTTATCTGTCAAGTAGAAACTGAAAATATATGACTTCAAGCGAAGACTGATAAAGTTAAGTATTAGAAAACCAACAGTAAGAAGTGTGGATTTCATGAATCTCGACACTGGTCTTCACTCATTCCTGTATATAAGTTAATCAGAGAATGTTGACTGTTTTCACAAAACAAGAAAGATATTTAAGCTGCTTTCTGGATTCTGAACAATCAGAAATGATGTGAATATAGTATAGCAAATAGAAGTTAGTGTCAACTGTACATCCCACTGCAACTAGTCATCCAACAAAACTACTTATTTTCATTACCAACGGAATGCTTCACATATTGTGATTCTCTTCGATTTTGTGTTATTCCTGGAGAAAGTGCATATGAAATACACTTCGAAAACAAAGTCTCACAGGCTTTTGCTTGATCGAGGATTTGAAACAGGAATTTTATTCACATGGGATTGAGAAACATTCGAAGTAATAGAGTGTAAGTGTAACAAGGGAAAAGAAGGTAGATTGTTTGAGAAAATTATTAGAAAGAATTCAGAAATGTATACAGCTACGGTTATGGTAGCTAAAGAGACGTAACCGAGCATTTAAATATACTGAGTTCAGTATTTTATCATTAAATAGCTGGGGCCTCTATCTTGCAAAGATGTAATCATAGTCCTTTGGATGGCTTGGTCTCATCTTGTCGAAAGAATTCTGTACAGATGTAGTGATAAACGATGTGTTCCAAAATGGTAGTGCCCACTGACTTGTTTTTCTCTTCATAACAGCCGTGTAAATGAATGGTAGTGGGAAGGCTTTCAAAATGCCATTCTCCTGCAACCTACGTACTTAGCTTCATAGGAATAAACAAATTTATATAGACATACAGAAGTGGCTAACAAAAGGAACTAATCTTTGATTATTTCACGAAAGAGAACACATATGAAGATGTTAAGATTCGGAGATGCTTTTGAAAGCAAGCTAATCAAAACTGATACAGACAGAGTCACATTCTGACCCGCACTAAGTTGGGAAAACTCAGGCTTATTTCCCCATACCTTTGGCAATTAATAAGGTCGGGTATTCATTCTGAATCAGATTTTATTCAAAAAGACTCAATTTCTCTATGGAACGTCTCTTTCGTGAAATTCTGGTTACTTTTCTTTGCCAAAGAGGTGGTCGGATTTTTTCTACTCATGGGAATAAAATTGTAGGAGTTCAAAGACTCCCTGCTCCATTCACTTTTGTGGCGTATTGATCTTTGAATCGACTTATTTCTTCTTGCTGGCAGTCACTCACCTAGACGTCAAGCTCACACTCCTACTTGACTTCCAAAGTAATACTAATCGCTAGATGAAAATCGTTGAATATTTCGAGAATCTTATTTAAATCAGTTACTTAACTTTTATGAGACAAAATGTTTTCTGTATCATCTGTATGCCGCGAATTGATAATCATCTGAAGGATACTCGACTTTAAAAGAACCATGAAATATTCAGCATGTAGGATATGGAGTGGTAACAATATTGCTAGTTCACTAGTTAATAAAAACTGAACATTCAGTATGCATCTTACAATTATATCCCGAATATACTTATTAGGTGAGTCAGCATTCAAATCATTATTTGACGCAGCATACTTAATGAGTAAACAATAGTATATCTGTGTGCTGTATTAAATAAACAAACCTAATACGGAATTACATTCTGTCACAGTGCGTAGTTTCTCCCCAAACTGTTGGAACTATTAAATTAGCATAGGAAGAAAACGGTATCTGTCAGATGTACACGAGCAAGCGTAGAGACAACACAGTGCAGCCAACACATAAGTACAAGTTTAATAATATGAAGTGAATGCTTACAGTATCCTTCAAAGATTTAAAGACCTGGCTGTCATTTCTGAGATACTGTTTACACCAACCGATAAATCTGAGTGGCTGGTTGCTTCAAAAGTTTTAGTTATGTCCAGTGAAGATGATGTCCCTGCAAAAATAACTGTCTTCCAAGGGCATAGGAGAATATTTTTCCATACTACTGTCAGTCATATTTCTGAAAATAAAATGATTCATAATAAATTTATTTTCGTCACGGAAATAAAGCTGTTCAGCACTACGAATAAACAGAATAAACTTGAGATACTTTCAGACACCTGTGAAAAACATCTTCTGTTTTCAATCTGCTATTTTACGTCAAGTTTTGCATATCTGCTGGTCATTTAATAACTCTTATTCAGTCTATCTCAAATATGTCTGAAGTTTGTAAAGGCGATCAACAGGGAAATAATGCATTTGCTTACCTGTTTTAATACGTCGACTACTTCTTTTATCATTTTGTCTACACTGTCATTCACAATAACAGCATCAAACTTTCCTTCAGATATTCCTATAAAAAGATGCAAAACGTTCAATATATTGGCATACACTGATGTTTACCGGAGATGTTAATACACACCTTAAAAATAATACCTATGAATAAATTCGCATTTTTAGTCGAGCTGAATTCATTAACTGCTCAGTTCCGCATCATTTCTGAATCATGTGAAAGCATTTTGTCATATCGAATATAACTTACATAAAGCCTCTTTCACCTATCTAGGCTGCACCGTTTCTACTACAGGTGGTGGTGGCACAGACGATGACGTCAAAGTGAGCATCAGAAAAGCAAGACTGGAGTTCATTCACCTGGAACCACTGTGGAGATCTACTGCACTCAGCATAAAGCGTCAACAACATCCAGATTTTCAACACCAATTCAATGAAGTCAGTCCTTCTATGTGGTGGTTCAGAGACTTGGCGCGTCACGCAAAGCACTTCCAACAAACTACACATATTCATCAACAGCTGTCTACGCTGGCTCGCTACTGAAGATCAGATGGCAAGAATGATAAGAATAAGCAACAAGGAACTCTGGCTGGTTGGCAACTAACCAACCATGAACCCACGCCTCAACGAATATGCAGAAGGAAGTAGAGATGGACTGGATTGGGCATACACTGAGAAGACCATTCTGGGACATCACGCGTCAGGCCAGGCAAGACCAGGCCGTCGAGTGTAACCCAGATGGGAAACGACGAGTTTGGCTTCGGAGGTGAGGGTGTTATGGAGGAGATGGTGTGAGGTAGAAATGAGAGCTTGTGGGTTATCGTGGAGTGAGGTTGAAAAGAGTGCAGAGAAGAGAGTGTAATGGAGACGTGCTGCTGAAGCCCTATATTCCACTAGGAACCCCGAGGGGTAAATAATAAATAAAGCAAGAGTGATTGTAATGTTGCCCTACAAATTATTTATTCATATTGCCGTCTGTATTGCTGAGAAATATGACGACAGCATTGTAAGTACTTAGGAAACAAATTTTAGATGGAATTCAACAGACTACAGACAAACTGCAGGTTAGTCAAAGGTTTTCAGTTTTGCAGACGTGCGTTCCATCCTACTTGAGACTTGCCAGTTGGATGTACCTGCATTCCAGTGAGTTACGTTGTTCCCACTGAGACATGAAGCCAGTACCCTTTGCTTCAAATGCTAGAGTGTTATCAACTGAGCCCCAAGAGCACGATAGCTACCTCTTCTGCAATGAGTATCAGTTGTTGTTTTGATATATACATTTAAGTATCCGGAATCGTTTTTATGTCACTGGTATTAGATATGCCGGGTATCGACTCAAACTTTCTTTCCCTCTTCTCAGGTTATTTTCTAAGTTCGTCACATCAACGTGTAAGGCAGAAGAATAATGTCAAAGACTAAACATAGAAAGTATATATTATTACTTAACCAGAAACACATAGGGAGTAGTTGGAAAAAATACCAAGAAGGATACGATTCCAGACACAAACAATATTAATATTGGAACCATTCAAGGTTATTTTGAAACCTCCACACTCTGACCACATGAATTACTTAAATCATAAGCTCTACTTAGAATTCCTAATAAGGCTAGGACTGAAATGATATTGAAACCAACAAGCTCACTAGGAAAAAAGCGTTTTCGGTTAAAGAATGTTACTGAAGCTGTTAAACAAAATAATTTGGTTTATCAGATTCCAGGCAGTGACTGTGAGATCAAATACGTGTCCCAGACTGTTTGATTGGAATACAAAGGACTAGTTAACTATGGAATGGTTCACAGGAAGAAGTTCAGAAATCTAGAAAAAAGCTCAGCCATAACCATGCCTGCTGTCACACATAACCATGTAATAGGACAGAACAGACTGACATTTTCAAACAGAAACCTAAGTTGACGAAGAGATAAATTGATAACTAAAACCTAGTGATTACTTTAATATGATTACGAGCAGTAAGTTCTCTTAAAAGTGACACTGTATATGGCATGGTTTTACCGTGTGATAACTATAAGGAAGAGCTAAATGTAATAAACTGGCTGACTTTATTAACATTATGGATGAATTATAAACAAAAATTAACAAAATTTAATACAACAATAGTCTTCATCGAGTACGAAAAATGAGGATTCATTTTAAAAGCAGATGACGATGGTAAATTTACTTTGTATTCTCGGAAGAAACATCATAAAATAGGGCGTAGATAAGATACAATTTTGAATTGAAACCCTTTTATATTTGACAGCATAAGAATTTCTAATATGTCTCTTCTTGACATTTTAAGATACGGAAAGTAGACCGTAGCAACAGTAATTGTTTCACAGACTTCCTAGTTTTTTTCAGAAAATGTGACGTACACTCATTATATCCCTAGATAAGATACTCATCTTTGAATATGCCAACGCAATCGAATTACTCACAGAGCTTTAGAAAATATGATGTGTATGCGGTTCAGTGCCGTCGATGAAATCACTGACAGTAATCCTCTAGGATACTTCGAAAATATTCAATCTAACTAAACATGTACCATGCACAGGGTTGACCTAGAGATAAGTCTTTTAACATCCAACAGTCTTTCCCATTCCTGATAAAAAGAGTAACAGTTATTGAACGGTCCCACATAGACGTATCTCAGTGCACAAGTTATGTCGCTGTTTCAGTTTGGTTAGAAAGTACGTGATAATTAATAACTTGAGGTGGTTGCGTGCTGAATATAAGACAGTCAGGAAGATATTGTTCAGAAGCATGCAGCAAACAAGTTCCCTTGTATCCGTTAATACTAGCACCACTCAATTTCTACTCAAAATACTTGACTTTGCACTCATATAATTTAGGTCTTTTCCACATCCTATTATAGATCAACAACCGGTCTTCATTGGTCCAGCATATTTTACCATACCTTCCCGGTTTTATACTAATAACTGTTCTGATGAAATGCGTATTTCTGTTTCTGTAAATGTTTTTGACATTATACATTATTCCAAGCAACCAGAAACCGTTGTTCATTTCACAATTACCACTTTACTATTCAAAGTCATTTTGCCTTGGCCAAAAGGGTTCTTTTTCTAGACCATTGAGTGTTTCAGAAATAACTGAGTGATGCTGTTTGGATTTGAAACTAGAAAGACTGACAAAATCTTCAAAAGCCGTTATGCCTGAAGCCTTTATTAACTAGTCGTTCTGCTTCCAAGTTTCAGAAAAAACAGTTGAATCAACATGCAAGTATCGAGTTGATTGAAGAGACGAATAGCCTATAAGATTTAAATCTAGCAAGGCCTGGAAATAGCCTGGGCCAGGGTAAGCATATGTGAACCGTTGTATTTTGTATATATATTTTGTTGACGTTACAGCACACATTCTGTTATCTTACCGCTTTTCTACTTTGGCGAAAAACTGAGTGACCAGCATAGGGTGAAGCCTAAGGTTATTGTCCAAACGTGAGCATATGTAGGAGTCCCCACAAGTTTATAACAAATGACAACAGGGAAGATAAAAAAGTGGCGACCGGTGTTATAAAAGGAACGAAATCAGTCATTTACCTCATTTTTAATACTTCTGTAAACACATGGAAAATGAAATGAACATTTTTAGTTGAGGTAAAAATGAAAAATCTTTAATCATTTTATCCTAATTCGAAAATAGCTAATAGATAATTTCTGACAACATACTGTGAATATGTGCGCAACGATGCAAAGTATATATATATATATATATATATATACATGCATTTACATAGGTTGGCTTTAAAGAACGCTGAAACCTAACACCGAAGTGATTTTTGTGCTGAAACGATAAACTCATATATCGAAGAATAAAAACTCACCATACTGCATTTCCTGGTGTGCAACTGCTAAACGTTGAAGTATTCGATCTTCACTTTCTGTAGAACGAGATCTTAATCTCTTCTCCTGAAGTAAATAACAAAAAGCCATTCGTAAAAGAGAAGTAATGAAATGTGTGAAGAGAGACTTAAAACCCTGACAATCGATATAATAAATGATGCAAATTATTGAAAATTTCGTAATTTTCCAACATTTTTTGATAATATTCAAGGCTAGATATGTCTGACTTTTATAAGAAAACGTGAAATAAATTCGTGACAAAATATCCAAAAAGATAGAAATTTTTTCCCTATTCACCGATTGTTAATGGCAGTATTTTTTTCATTTTTTTAAATTATATGACATTCTCACTTGCTGTCAAATGTCCAAACATTTTCTATCAGTAAGAATGAAAACTAATCCAACCTATTATACTGTTGCTAGTCAGAATAAAAACTGTATCCTTGTGAACAGTTTAGGTAACCATTCGTCTGAAAACTAGGAATAACTTTTTTCTCATATATTTTACTGCAGTGCTTTCAGTGTAGACAAGAGAAAAACTGATCTTTTCAAAATGCTCGCATGTCATAACAATTTAAAAAGATTTCATACAGCTAAAGAGTCTCATAACATTTATAAAAAGTGACAATCTGAACGAAGAATATTCTTTTCAATAGATTCCCTTCAGGTTCTACAATTGTAAAATGCATTTGTACAGCGTAAAAACAACCCATGTTATGGGCAATTACATTTTCAAAATGGGGTGAGATCTAGGAGTTGTAAGGAAATAAATTTATCTTTTTAGATTAGTCAGTAGTGAGATGATACAAATACAGAGGAATGATACGATAGGGAACAAAAAGATAACCAATAAGATGGGAGAAGTGGCCTTTAGTTAGCTAAAGGTCAAGGGAGAAGTAACGCTTGGACATGTTCTTTCTGAATGCAGAGTTTAGGCTTGATCAATCCTATTACCACAGTCTTCACTACGTTGAGCAGCGCTGGCGAGCTACACGTGGTGTCATTTTTGGAACACGATGAATGACATTGAAAGCTATATTAGCTTCCATCTGATGCTCTGTATCGACTAGATGCTCTAGGACCGAACTTTTCACCACTTTCATTTCCATCTTTCCAAACCAAGCTGGTGAATGCTCTCGTATCCGAGGACGCACCTGCCTAATCCTACTTTCTATGTAACTAGTTCCATAGGAACAGTTAAATTAGCATATGCAAGATGACAAGCTGAGATCAGGCAGACTATCCTTTAGTCTTGGACTGAGTATTAGCCAACTAAAGGATAGCCTACCTATTCTTAGCTCTTCATCTTCTATATGTCAACTCAACTGTTCCTGTGAAACTAGTTACATAGGAAGTACGATTAGGCAGGTGCCTGAGATTCTCAAGATACAGGTACATGCAGATGCATATTTTAGTGACATCCGTAACTATCAAGGCAAGCTAATGAGACTGTTTCTGAAGAATTCTGAAAGCTCAGCATTCAGAAGCCCACATTTCTGTTTTCTGCAGATAAACAAATGAAAATATCAGATTTATGGTGAGCTTGGTTCCAGGTCTTCTCTCCCACTTCTTTGATTCTAACTATGCAAAAGCGTTGCCTCAATTATTTGATACCAAAATTGAGTACTATCTACTTTCCAAAAGGTTACCACATGAAGTTTTATCTGAATGAACCGAAAAAACAGCTTTAACAGAATAGCATAGATCCATTTATTTAGTAGTTTCTCATCAGCTGTACATAACCTTAATCAGTTTTAACATCCCTGGCGGGGTCGTGGGTGCGCAATGCTGAGGAGTCCCATATAAGGACGAAGCAGCTGTCCAGTGCTCCCAGGTTTCCTTTGTTCCTCCAACTGATGTTAGTCTACTATGAATACCAACTTCAATTTATGTGTTCACACACTCAAATCAGACTGATAGAAAATTGTAGGCTTGAATTAAAAATAACTCCGAAATGAATTAATTGAAAACACATGAATTGAGTTAACACGTATACGGAACACACGGAATACGCACAGAACGAAGTTAGTTAGTATGAAGAAGGATTATACCCCAAAGTGGAAGTTGGACGAGTGGAGGAGACAAATATATTCAACACACTATGAAAGGTCACACAGAATGTGTGAAACACCACAAGATTTGTTTTACCTAGCAGCTAAGGTGAGTACACTGCAAACAATTAGGTTTAAGTAACTAAGAAAACCAAACTTATATGAAGCGACAACGATATGTAACGAAGCACAATGATTGTCAACAAAACGAGTCTTCACCATGATAGTCACAGATTGACAACTCTTTCTCTCTGAAAAATTAAGTTCAGTTTTAATCGCTAAACAGATAAGGCCTCCGTGAAACGCAACAAACTTGAATTTGTGCGTTTACTAATTATTTTGAACGACTCCTGAATATCAACTTGATGTCCACCATCAATAAGGTGATGAGCAACGGTGCTCTTGAAGACTTTGCCACCTCCGAGTGACGAACTTCTTCGAATATCCTCAGATATGCAGTCATAAACCCTTCTTATGTTTGCTAGCTGCATGAGCTTTGGCATACACATGTGAATTGGTAGGTGCAGTTTGAGATACCATGAATGGAAGACTTGTCAACCTTTTATTGTCTCACTGAGCAATCCGTTCGGCATACTGCGATTAACTTAGTAGCTGATTGTCCATTTTATGGTACCATTTACTCTAATTGTGCTTGAATTAGTTTTATCTGAATTCTACTCACATTAGCTATTAGTTAACGTAAATCTTATGTTTCACACATTTTATGTAACCTTTCATAGTGTGTTGAATATATTTGTCTCCTCCACTCATCCAACTTCCACTTCAGGATATAATCCTTCTTCATATTAACTAACTTCGTTCTGCGTGTCAGTTCCTTATACATGTTAACTCAATTCATATGTTTTCAATTAGTTTACTTCGGAGTTATCTTTAATTCAAGCCTACAATTTTCTATCACTCTTATTCAAGTGTGCAAACCCCTAAATAAATAGATCTACATTATTCAGTTAAAGCAGTTGTTCTGGCTATATTTAAACTTGTGGAAGGAAAGAGTTTCATGAAGCTTTTGTTGTTTGTACAGTCACCTGTAACTGAGCAATAAAATATGTCTAAGGATTATTTCAACTGTTTGACCAACTTGCAGATACCAATAACAATGTAGACTGAAAGTAAATAGGCATAGTTTGTCTCTTTATTTGTTTTCTTAGCGAAAATATCATTACTTTATTATTAACATCACTATAAATACTGTTAACAAACAAAAAAATTCAAACAATATAAATTTTTTATGTATGTGAGAGATAGTGACTAAACAGAATTCATGTTTATCATTGAAAATTGCAAAGGTATGCAAAGGTATCTAAATGACTTCACTTACAAGTATTGCAAAACTTCTTGGACGTATGAAAATACAAACTGGATTAATATTTGTTTTCTGTAGCTTCTCAACTCCTTGTATATCAATGTCCATTAAACAGACACGTTGCTCCATTTCTGCTTTTTCAGTTCAGCTTTACTAATTTTTTTTTAAAGGAAAAAGCAAAGAATTCATATTCAATTATACATATATAGAAAATGACATTTTACTGAAATGAAAAAAAAACGGTATTCAACGAATGACTTATCAACTAGTAATTACAATTATGGTCTAAATTTAAAGCCATGAATTAAAGACTACGGAAAGCAAAGTAGGTTGTGTTGTTTGTAAAATCTGATTCTGCACCGCCCCCCCCCCCCCACAAAATGTCACAACATTAGTTTAAATAAAGTCCCTGTTAGTGATCTTCATGCCTACAGCCATTCTTCAAACCAAAATAAGAGGTACTGTGACTAAGAAAAAATTATTTTTCTCCATAAAAGTTTCCTCACTGTTCATAAGTATGCCGCAATCATGTTCCCCAAGGAATGCAGAAACATCATTTGAATTATGTTCACTAAGTTAGGTGTTTCAAATGCAATATTTGTTCTGTAGTTTTTGTTGTGACCGAGTGGTGGGGTTGCACGAGTGTGTATAATGAATACTGGGACTCAGTAGACACCTCAACTGAATACCTATACGACTGACCTCCCTCAGTACCTTCTGCTTCAATTAGCCGCGGTAAAATCAGAAGACAAAGACAGCCTATGACTGCGAGAACAGCGACAATAACTCTTATTAGACAAATACATGACATATATGTATTTACAAAACTCTCAGAAAGTGAAGCCAAAAACGAACAATCAGATTTCTTGTATGAGATCGAATTCTTTCAATCAGGTCCTCATGTCAGCGCATGCATAAATCATGACCTGAACATGATCTGATCACGACTTGAAAACTCCCCTGTTGGCTGCCTTCTTATCGCTATCTAACAGTTTTCCCTAAAGTTAGTAAATCCAGCACTGAGATTGATGTTCAATGATATCATATTATGCACTGCTCTAACACAATAAATTATCTTACATTCGACTAGAAATTTATTCTGCCTCTCTACTTTTTATAACCACATATGTCAAATAAGTAAAACAGACATTTCTTTCGCAAATTTAATGTTTTCAATTTTTTTATTTGTAATAGTACTTGTGATAGCTTTTTAAAAGATGTAAGATTTAAGATCTTTTATTTTCAAAGTACTAATCAAAAGGTTTTCTTGTATTTGACATTAAGAAATACTGAGTACTCAAGAATCATTTTAATTATCTGAGATAGCCATGGTTTGATAGACTATTATTGATACTTAATGATGATTGAAAGTCAAACGAAAATTGGGATAGCTGTAGGATTTGAAACAGCTATTCAAATCCAACAGTGGTTCATATTTTTATTTCACCTTGAATTATCATTAGTTTTTGTACATCACTTGAGTACAGCAATAATATTTTTAAAGATTTTTAAAAGAGGAGAACAATCTTATTCAGCTTCTGTATTTTTAAAACTGTGTACATTTTAAACAAAAGTATAATAATCTAATAAGTTATATCAATAGTCACTTTACAGAAGTCTCTAGATCTCTTTGGTTATGAATAGTCTTAAACGATCTACAAATCTTAGTTGTGTCTCTGATTGTAGTGATTCAATGTATATGCTTTGGTGAATACTAGTCAGTTCGTATCTACACATGAAGTTGAATTCAAAGGGATAACTATCCAATTAGATTACACCAAATAACAAGGTGTTTGAAACATCTTAGATAACTTGGACACATAATACTTTCTGACCATTAAATTGTTTCCCTCTTTTTTCTCATTACTGCAATAATAAGACTAACTTGGTGCTAGATGCGACACTCTTTTATTTGTCTCCCAAAAGTTCACCATATTTTATGTCCTATCGTTTACTACTATATATATTTTACTAAAAAAAGCTTTATAACCAAAAACATCCAATTAGTTTTTCAGATAAGATCTGAAACCAATACTCGTTTATAAATAGATAAAAAGACAGGCTACTACACATATTTCTACTTCGGATAAATAGTAAAAGTTAAATGCTTGTTCTAAGTCGATTGCAGATACCTATGACGTGTAGTATATCAAGATGTCATTCTTAGGTTGATTGCATTTTCTTATGCACATTTCTAAAGAGTCAGGGAAAATTAACCACAAATCCCTGACCATCAAATCCTATGAATTATTCATTGGAATGCCTCAAGTGGTGTATTGTTTCATTGACTTCAAACTATGAGATGAACTGTAAAGAAATCACTAAATAAACGACTTAATATATTGTCATGCCTATCTCTTCGATATAATAACAGCATCTTGTGAAACTAAAGTAACTTTCTTAGTAAACGTTAGCACTGGTGCTTTAATATAGATGTAGTGAAGAAAAATAGATTGTGGTGCTGGTGTCAACGCCTGATATACACGGTCAACGAAGACCTGGGATTTCAAATGCGAGATAGATCACAATTTTTCAATATTTCTAAACTTATAATTGATGTGAGACGATTTTACGGAGTTCCGACTGTATGTTTTGTGATTGGAATTCTTGCATACCAGTATCAGTTGACTAGTCGTAATATACTGACTTCACGTTACCAAACTAGGGGGCAATATTCCGAATTCAGCCACTGAATGAATTTCATAACGAACTTTTCCTGACACGTGAAACTATAATCAAAGTGAATGAACTTCGATTTGATGTTAGTTCAGTTTCATATCTGAGAAAATTGTAGATCATAGGTACCACCAGACTTCAATTAGGAATTTTTATAGGAGCTTAGAAAAGAGTCTTCGAGAAATGCTCAGATGCTTTGTGTAATAAATGTTTGAAGGTATTGGTGAATTTTCCTCAGCGTAAAACGTAATATTATCTTACCATTTTAACAGTAGCAGCAACCTCTGCAAAGAATTTAATTAGAAGTTATTTTATTGGCTCACTGTGGGACACACTTAAAAGTCAAAGATGTTTTTAAAAATATACTTCACAATAAGGTAACTAAGATCAGATCAGGTGTATCTGCACCTTGTAATCAGCTATACAGACACCTAACCATTGAAAATAAATGACTGGCCGCTTGAAAATGATATACGTCACTTTGTATGCTCATCATTTCCTAAGCATTAATTTCACAAAGTTTACATATATGCTTCACTGAGTCACCAGTGCTTCAAAAGCTAAAGTTGACTACCATTTGAAAAATCCCATGAAAGTGATAAAAATTTGACAGATTTTTTTCATCCTTCTTCCTCTCTCCCACTTCAAAGCAGGTCTACTGCTTCCAAAGGGGAAAATGAAAAATATGAATTTGAAATAGGCAAGTATACATTTCAGAAGTTATCATTATGATGGGATTAGTAAAACGTTTTCCAATTACAGAAAAAGCATATCAAAGGCTACAAACTGTGATAAGGAAAGTCAAATGCATTTGGAAGAATCGACATAACTTTTGAATTGTTGAAAGTTCTTGAAAGCGAAACTTGCAACTTCTAAACATTTCATCTACGTAACATTAGTATACTGTGTCGCATGTAAGAATGTTGTCGAAGAAGTGAATAATAAATATACTTGCGTATGTTTGTTGGAGGAGGTTCATTTAGCCAACATTAAAATTTGCAGTTCAAGCCCACTTATTCAGGAATACCTATATAATATAATATTATGCACTTAAGGACCCATTCTTATCTATCATGAAGCCCTCTCTTCATTTTATCATCAACTTTCAAAGCAACGGATTGAGAACTTTTTTTCAAATGAGCAAGAGTACGTAATCCGATGTGAAGTTATGTGTGAATGATTATAAATACTTCAAAAAGAGTAGTCTGATGTAAAATATTCGATGGAAAGTCTGTTGGAGCTCACTTTCGATGCAAATTGTCTCGATAAGTATATCCTTTCCAAGTAATTCGATATAGGTTTCACTCACTTGAGAAAGCTGCAAATTTCGTATGAAACGCCTAGCAGTACAACATTATTATGAGTTATTAACTTCGCAGCTAATCTTTTCTGTCAATTCAGTGAAACCTTCTAAGTAGTCCTTCAATATTACTAACAACTGATGCTTAGTCAGCAGCTAAATAGGAGAAACAAGAAAATATCTTCTGATAGATACAGCTTTCGAATACTTTTGATGTCATAATTATGCATCCAATTCAATTTCATTCGCAGTGCATCAGTACTGTGACAATCTAGTAAGTTTTGTGATTATGAGAAATAATACAATATGAATTCAGTATCTGTGATGTGAACAGCTAGGAATGTTAGTTGATCGGAGGCAATCAGCAGGAAGCCCGGACCTAGATTTCGTGCTTCTTGGCACTCGTCAGCAAGACGAGTCTGCAAACTCGACGGAACTGACGTCCCGCCTGAGATTCGAACTTACGTCACCCAGTATTGTAGTCAGCTACTTAACTACTGAGTTATGCAATCCATCTTGCCGATGAGGGCTAAAAAGCACGAAACCTAGGTCCAAGGCTATCTGCCGGTTGCCTTCAACCAACATCTACTAATGTGCACCGCGATGCTGAGCTTCCTAGCTTGGTTGCCACATTCCAAATATGATCGACAGAATTCGGTCTGCACTCAGGACTAGACAGCATGAATTTGGTTACATTCCCGTGACCAATTAATACAGCTAGGAATAGATACCAGTAAGACATTCATCTAGACAAATTAGCATCCTCAGACACTGCATATATATATGTATATGTTAGTAACAGAACACATATAATCCTCTTCCCTTCTCATCGACTGGCATGCATCAAAGGCATGATATAATACTAAATTAAAACAGTGACTTAGTCACCGTTAAGAAACATATTCATTTTGCATTTCTAACTTCACTCTACTCAATACTTTGAATGGCTACTTTAGATCTGTGAATCAGTACCCAGCATACGATTAAATACTTTTAGCTGTTGCGTTTTGTTCCATTAGCTGAGAGAGTGTTATTGGCTTGACATTTATTCGCCTAAAACCAAATATAGACAAGTTACAGGCAACAAGTTTGATAGTGGTTATCTGAGGTCATTAGCTAAATGTATACGTATCTCAATGATTATTGAGACTGCTAGCGAGATTTGAAAAAAGTAACCTTCTGTTTACCAGGCTACTGCGTTCAACGGATAATTACTTGCTGCTGGACAATTTTGATATCCCCCGTTTTTGAATAACAAGATACTATATCAAAGCTTGAATAAGAACAAAAACTTTCACGAATGCAATCACATTCATTTGGATAGTTTCAAACAAGCAGAATCTGCTAACAATCAATAAAAGCGTAACCTAGAAGCAACTACAAGAAGTGCTGACGCACCTGTACAAGAAGCTAAATGCCACCGGAGACTTCCTATTTGTTTTGATCCCTCAAGTTAAATTAAACTGAGACAAAAGGTGTTAGCAGGATAACTGATTTATAATTACTATTTGTCTGGCAAATGAAAATCAACCATGAGCTTACACAGCCTACCAGTGTTAATAACTACCTATAACTACAATTATCTGGCCTAGCAGCTGTCATGTTCTCAACTTGAGAATTGTTCATCATATCATTTACACACTGTAATTGGTTCTAACTATTGTTGTTTTCTCGATACCTCTGAATTTACTTCATATTTCTTTCGAAACATTCAAATTATTAGCATTTCTAACAATCTGAATTTAACTGTAGGTCATATGAGAGATTGAAAGAAGCTGTGAAATGAATTGTGCTCACTGTATTATGCAAAAATCATTATTCTTTTTGTACTCAAAGAAACTGATCGCATCAGTCCTGCAAAATAAACACCTTGAAATATTGAAAACTCTGAATAAATAAATTAAAAGTAATCAGTTGTAGGTAGTTACGTACAATCGTTAGCCTTCCATTTGTTGAATAATTTAATTTCCCAATAATCAGGAAATGTATAAAACTTCTGGACTTCTACAAATTATTAGTTACTCAAATATTCTTTTCAGTCATGATTAAGTGCAATAATATAATTACATTTGTAGATTAAATGTTTCACCATTACCAGCTGATATTATCGTCTAAAGATCATGAAGGTACTTCTGGTAAAATTATATACATTTGGATCCTTTCAGTTAGAGAAAGAATCAACCCCCGGAAATGCATGCTAATAACTACTATATTGAAACATCTTCAAACTCTCACCTTGTTCCATAGTAATGGCCAGAAAACATTGCATACTCAATGAATTCATCTTTATTTACAGCATCTTGAAATTCTTCACTCGAAATAAAGTTATAATCTGAAATAAAATGGAATATAGTTTGCTTTCTTTTACCGCTACATAATTAGTATACAAAAATCAAAATCAATGGGGCCAGTAAATTATCTTCTAGAATATACTGAAGATGCAGTACTCTACGAGAATTGTTTCCAATTGTAATACTAAAGATGGACAGTGTCTAACAGTTTAATCCAGAACGCGTGTTTGGTTGTATTTGGGACTCATCAGTTGAATGCACCTGCTTCCTAGCGTAGGTGTCAGTCCCTTTTAGTCTCGGACCTGGGACTGATCTCTTCAAACACTAGACCATTATCCGGTAGCCTATGGCATAACCTATCCATCAATAATATCAAAACTGAAAATGCCAGCAATATCAAGGCTTCCACTCAAGAGCCTGCATACCTGTAGTAACCAGTCGATTCACTTCAGTCAGTTACAGACTTACAATCTAAGGCGTCAAAAGCTGTTTCCGTTTTACCACTATATTTTTACTTTATATCATAGATGCTAGCAGTTATTTTTCATCATGATTATACATTATTTTATCAACTACATTAAAAACGAAGTCATTCGACAATCGTTTGTCACTGAGGATGCTTATCTCCCACTATTAACCCTTGAGTAAGCTTCTTCGCAACCATCTGAACCCTAAATGTGTCCAATGAAATGGGCCACAAGATCATAATATACCAGTTATCGTATTGATATTTAGCATACCTGCTAGAAAATGTCCCTCAGTTTGGTAATAATTTAACTAAAAGAGATTTTTACGACTTATTTCAAATGAGGTAAAAAAAATCCTTTGAGCAATTATTCAAGTTATTCCCCCGGCATCCAGTTAACTTAATCTAACATGTGTGATAAGACTAAAACGTTAAAAAAATTAAGTAGAACGTTGTATAATATTTATACAAGCTACCTAAGCAAATTCATTGTAGACTATTGTCTTTTACAAAACGTTCTCAATAAAACGTTTCAACTTGAAATGATAAACTACCTGATTTACCTTCTTTTTCTCTCTTTAGTTCTGTTTTCCAATATCTTTATGCTTTGTTTTTGCCTTAAGAACTACAAAGAATTTGTCTTGTCCATTAAATTCAGACTTGAGAAAACCCCTAAGCAGATTCATTAACAAAAGGATGAATATAAAAAACAGAGTATTTTCAGACATTTAAATTATATCTGTTTGACGTATCAGATGGTAAGTTTGACCATTTTGTCAAAATATTTTGACTAGAATGTACTTGTTGTTTGATACTTGTAATTTCTCGTTGCTTTACTCGGGCAAATTGACCGATCTCAGTCGGAAGATAGGCTTGTATGTGGATGTCTCGATGCTGTACGGCTACTCATTCTCTTGTATTCGGTTTGATGGCTTGAAGTGCAAACTAGGATACGCATTTCATCCTATTTGAGATTCGTCAGCTGGATGTACATGCCCCGGGACTCGATCCAGTACCCATCACTTCAAACCGCAGAGAATATCACTAGATCACTGAGGCAAAAAAGTAACCTATTGTGCTACGAGTATTAGTTCTGTCTGATAGATGTAATCTCCCGTATCTATGCTGGGTTAAAACTGCCCAACGGTAGAATACAAGTATCAAACAACAAGTGATACTGGTTGCACAAGAGATGATTCTTTTGCCTCAGTGGCCTAGTGATAATCCTGTAACGTTTGAAGAGATTCATTTTAAGTTCTAGTCTTAGCAAGAACGGCACCATTTACTGGAGGTCAAGGGCATCTGGCTGACAAATCCTGAATGAAACAGAACATATACCTTGGATTCCTCTGCTATTCACCCAAGGAATGCAATAAAATGTACTTGGTTCACGTTTCTGTAGTTGAAAGAACGTTGTACGTGAAAAGGAAATGACAGCCACTTTATATTAGAAAACCTGTTTTCTTCTGAAGAATTTCATGTTTTCCCTGCCCTAAAACTAATCTTAAAAAGCTTACTAAAAGTTCTTTATGCTTTCACCTCACCCAAGTCCAAGCTTACTGTCATACATTCCCTACTCCATTTCTAAAAGGCAACGTAAAAGTGAGTCAAAAGTAAGTGTTTTCGTTGTTTACTAAGCGATAAATTACCTCTTCCGTGAATTTCATCCGGTCGTCTAGGTCGAGTTGTATCTAAAATAACAAAGAAAGTAAAGAGCAGTGATGATTACGTGAATTTTGTAAACAATCTTGTCAAGCAGATAATTTTCTTCAGTCTGAGGGTTTCTGGGGATTTAGTGATTTCAAGTAGGTATTCCTCGTGGGCTGACATCAGTTGGAGAAACTTCGAAGACCTGAGAGTACTGAGTAGCTGTTTCCTCCAAGTAAGAGACTCCTCAGCAGTGTATCCCCATTATCACACCCAACCATCTGTCAAACTCAGAACCGTCAGGTTCTGCGGCCAGCAAGTTGCCATTGAGAAGCTAGATTGGAATCTAATGGTCCATATTTCCAACTCTAGTCAGTTCACACCATTCACTGTAACCGTTAAGTATTTGTCCTCGTCTCCTCCAGGTTCGCCTCATACGTCACGACTTTTCATCGGAACTTCAGGAATCATGTTGTTCCACAGAGATGTTCAAAGTGTTTCGTAACCATTTTTTTATAAAACGACTTGCTTACACAACATTTTAAAACAATATTAGAAATCTTTGTAAAGCATACAAAGAAAGTTAAAAAGTCCACTAGTTTTCCTGAGCCTGTACGTCTTCCTGACCGCATGAATTTACATAGAATCAATTTGAACAGAAAGATAAAAAGAAGTATATGGTTAGTCATTTCATTAGATCATAAAATCAGTCCTGAAATAAAAACCTACCATCTACTTGACTACGATACTACTTGAATCCATTCATACTCTTTAGGCAGTACAACGTAAGTAGATTATCAAATCTCAAGGGAATAATATCTTGTAAGTTTTAAAATCGTAAAATTTTCTAGTTCAAAAAAAAACTAAGTTTGAACATTTAGGTCATATCATATTTCACTTTATAGGTATAGATAGATAGTAATGGTTTGATTCTTATAGAATGGAAAGAAGTCCTATCCACCAATGAAATATAATCTAGTGAAGAGTTAAAAAATCCCAGCGCACACAAAAAATATTCAATAATAGCTCTCTTTATGTAAGTTGTACTATACATATGTCTGTTATTAATTAATTTTTAGTATTTTATGACCATGTAAATCATATGGGAATAGAAATTACCTAAGAAATGTGAACGTATTTTACAACGTGAGTTGAAATCAAAAGTCGGAGAATTCGTAACAATAGGAACGTGTTTGATAACAAAGTAATTTCACAGTCATCAAAATCAATCAATGATTGGTTTGTTCTGGTTCTCAATAGTTTGAATATCACCAATAAAGTTTATTTGGATGCATGCTGTTTCACATTTTTCATCCATTAAAATTTGGCCAACCATTGGAGTTAAGAAGGCCTACTGCTTCTTCTGTTAATCAATATGAAACAGTTATCAGAGTATATTCAAATACTGAACAATGATAGTGAGTGATGGTCGCGCTATCTTGAACTGAGAGAAGTTGGTAATGTAAACCATTGAATTCTGCTCAGTGAGTTAATTGCAACGTGCAAGCCACGGAGCCTGAAGGTCCTGGCTTCCATCTGTGATCGTGTCATGAGTACACACAGATGAGTCATTCCATACCAAGACAAAATGGCTGCCCGGTGCTCCCTAGTTTCCAATGTTCCTTCAACTGTTGTAAGTCCATGATGAACACCAACTGAAAACTACTAAATCCTCTCAAACTCCCAAAGTAAACTTACATTATTAAAACTAAAGAATTACTTAAAATAACTTACGTGATACACAGTAGCGGAAGAGATTTGGATATCTATTGATAAGTGTTCTAATGCATGTGCTTTTACCACATCCAGATGGACCACATATTATAACTGGTCTTTTCAAGTTGAGGCTGAGTTCACTCATAAGTTATTCAATTTGTTCACCTTAATGGTACTTCCTTCTGCAAAATGTAATACATGAAACAAAATTGAAAAAGCAATTCATTTCATTGTAGTAAATCATAATAAAATTCCATTGTGAATAGCTTTCTGAAACCCATGAACCTGAGTTGTTCACAGAATGGAAATATTACCTCAGCTTTGAAATATGAAACGGAGACAATAGTAATTAATTTAATGGCTCCACAACTTCCAAAGCAGCTAGGTGAATAAATTTCAAAATAACCAGATTAGAACACTAAGCCTTGACTGTATGCTTAGTATAATTTTGATATATTTAGACGAAAACGTTTCAAACTAGTTATCGCTTTGTCTAACACTATTGCAACCAACAGCTAATGAAACATTGCCAGCCTAAGAATGATACTACCCAGATAGCCTTCCACCTAATCACTGACAAAAATTCAAAATACGTCGCCTTAAGTCATATCACAAATAGTAAAATGTTCTTGACTACAATAGCTTAATTATGAAGTCTTGGTTGAGCGATCAAAGTTTGCAAAATTCCAAAGAAATATCACCTTATAAGATAATGATAAAACGTTTATCCAACTTCTGTAAACACTGAGTGAGAGAATCTTTTATTTAAAACTGTTACTAATCTTTCATTTTTCCCCAGAAATAGCCACAGAAATTTTCACTAGCTCCAGCAAACATACACAAAAGTTAACTTAGCATATCGATAGGTTTCAACAAAGAGACGTTATTTATGCGTTCTGAAATCTCCATGTCAGGAACATATTTATCTTGATATCAGGGATAAAATATCGGCACTGGTTACTACCAGCAAATTATCACTGGTCAAACCAACTACGTTTTATTAACCTGAATAAACTTTCTTTCAGGTTGTCAAAACTAAAACATTTAACAGGAATGTTCGAGTTCTCCACATATGACAGCAATACTACTTGTATTTCATATTAGAATTTCTTGAGTTTCTTCTTGTTTGACGTAGGTTTTTACTTTTAGCCATGGTGTAGTGTGGTAAAAGCTTTCATACAGCTGACTAAACCATCATATTTTCCGCAGTTTCACAAATGTACATCAAGCATTTAGGGATAACTTTAAATGTGCTAGAAGTCGCTATTAACCTAAATAACAATACTTCAAATGAGTCTTCAAAATGCTGTAAAAGTTCTCTCGCACGGAATTTATACAGGAGAGCCTCGAAGCTCAACACGAATAAAAATGACAGAGAAACGGATGCAAGAAACATATCAGATGTATTACATTCTAATAACTACCCTAGAAATGGCGTTCAAAATATTCAAAAACATGAGCAGAGAGATAAAAGAAGAAATTCCAGTGATGATTACTAAATTAGCATAGTATTTATACCATTCCGCCATGGTACAACTAAAGAGCTACAAAAGGTCTTAAGGAAGCATCGAACTGAAGCCTTTTACAAGACAACCAGCACTTTCAGGAATGCTATAGTCCACTTAAAAGATGAAACTGCCTTTACATCTACACAGAAATGTATCTACAAATTAAGCGTTGACTGTGATTCTTATTACGGTTGGGAATCCTCCAATGAGATCCTCATTCTTGCTTAAGAACATGCAAGTTGCACGAAACGACCACCGAGTAATTTTGTAGAGCTAGAGAATTTCCAAATGTAGTCTTTAATCGCTGTTCATGTCATCAGTCAAAAAATCGATAGTGAAAATATTAAGATTATTCGGATGGTTTCAAAAGTCACCCTAGAAACTGTTGAAACATCCAATCAGGTTTCACTATTTCGACTAGGAAGTTAGATTTCCATCAAGTGAGTGACTTTAAAGGCTAACATAGCAATAATTGAAATAACCAAATGGGAAAATCTGCCTTCCTAGCCGAAATAAATAAATCTAATCCTGAGGCATTTCACATTATGTTGGATCCCTAATGCACCCAACAAAATGGTAGGAGTGACTTCAAAGGTCAGCCTAGCACCTGTTAAGACAACCAATAATAATTGTGCATTTGGTGGAAATTTGGCTTCTTAGCTGAAATCCAGAAATTTAATTGCGTGTTCCGACAGTTGCTAGGGCGGCTTTTATAGTCAACCGAAGTGAAGCCCTAACTAACCAATCAAACTGGACAGTATATCCAAAATTAGCAGATCACATATGTAATGATCAGAACAAAAGTTCGTACACATAAACAAACCAAATTTGTCATCTATAGTATTTTTCCTACACATGCACACCCAGTTACATGTGCACACATTCACATCACCTTGACCTGCAGACTGATAACGGATAACAGAGATAAGTTTGAACGCAACCTGAACAACATAAGCATCAATAGTTATCATCATGCATGGACAACGTGACCTGATTTGTCACCAATGCCTATTTAAACAGTCGATGACTTGTACAGGTTTTATTCTCTGAATAAGTGATTTCCAAGAAGTCACGAAAAGTTAGAAATTTATTTTCTACTTCATTGGGATTTTACGAGTACATTTCAATTGTCGTGTGTAAGTAAAGCTGTCTTCCTTGAGTGTCACAAAAGCAGTCTGTGGTTTACACCAGAAATACGCAGTCCCCCTGTATAATAATTACCCTTGAAATTAAGAAAAAAGAGTGACTATTGAAATGTCTTAATCAGTAATAATAAAGTGACTGTGAGGAATGGATCTGATGTACGTTTTACAATATGCAGTAACAAATTTGGTGTGAGAAAAGAAGTGATTTCATCAGTGATTTTACGACTGGTCTTTTGTTAAAGCCATATATATATATAGCTTTACACTTAGGTTACATCGAATGCATAAAATTGAAGAAAACTAGCCCAGGTAATGAAATTAGTAGGGATTACGAACAGTGTGTGCAGTGCATCCATATTTACAACATTCATGTTCGTAACATAAACAGCATCTGTCATCTGTTATGCGTTAAAAATTAGACTAACTATCCTTTTAAGTATCATTTTATTGACTTTAAAGTGTGTCTTATGGGAAAGTTTAGACCTTATTAAAAAGAAACAACGTTTCCCTTATCTTTTTACTGAACTAACAGTTTACATAATCAGATCTAAAAAAAAGCCGATGAACATTTCAGTCTTTTGTTGTCAAAAACGTTAGCACACTAAATGAGTAACCTTAAAAAGGAAATGACTCTACGACCTAATTACTATATATTACTATATATTTTCTTAATAGGAGAACAAAGATAACGTTGTAGTCCGTGTTTTCAACTGTAAAATCTAGTAGTAAAGGTTATCTTTAGACTATAAATTTCAGGTATCCAAGCTTAATACAAACATTTCCATGATCATTCAAGCAAGTTGGTCAGTTAAAATTACTCCTAACTAAGTTTCAGGTTGGAAGTCAAGAAGGATATATTTTAATATCCATTACATACTTTCGATAGGAAACGGTTATCAAAGGTAACTAATAAAGCTTTTATGTCCCTAATGCTCTACAGTAAGCAAAAAATTCATTGATTTCGATGAATTTACTTACATATTCGTATCCTACATGAACGCATATGTAACCGAAATACGTTGTTGATATGGCCTTCAAATTGGACACTAACACATTTTCGAATAACTGAGAAAACATCAGTATTCTCACGATTGCGGACCAATAAAAGTGTGCAACATTTGAAAACACTTAACCAAGGTCCAAATTTTCTTGCTGATTGACGCTTTTCATGTAATATCACATTTCTTCTGCCAATATACTGAGTTCTCATTTGTTTTATACAGAACCTTTGCATAATCTTTACGGTTTTAAGGCGTCAGAATTTTTAGCGGTTGAAGTAATTTCGAAACAGTCCACTCTACGTATATGTACTTATACAGACTAAGCTAAGATGTGAAATTCATCAGGTTTTGATAAAATTATCCTCATCTGATGATCAGTTTACGACTAATTATTAAGTAAGTATCAAGAGATCAGCCTTGGTAGATGAATTTGTTGCTTTTAAGGAGCATTTTATTCAGGGTAACCTATTTCCTGAGATTTAACTATCTACTTAGTACCTAGTAGCGGGATCCAAGACGCGCGTTCTGTCCTGTGTGGGACTCGCCAATTGCATGTATCGGCACCCAGGGATTAATGTTATCCCCGCTGAGACTCCAACCCAACACCCATCGCTTTAAATGTCAACTTGTTGTTCACCAGGCCACTGGGGCTCAACAGCCACCTATAGGAAACGGGTTTCAGTTGCCGCTAGATACTTGTAATCTCCTGTCACATTGCTCAACCTCTGTTGACAGGTCAGCTACTATACTTGTACATCCATACTGCCTGATTACTCATTATGCTGATGTCTGCTACTTCTCGAGAACTCAGGTAAATAGTTTTTAACGTCAGAATATTTTTGATGATCAGCCAAATCGAGGTGACCTATATTCCTTCGACCTATTTATCTCTCCTACAAATCTCAACGTTTAGTTTCAGAGATAATTATGGAGGATTTTCTGTTATCAAAAGGTGAATCAGTAACATAAAGATAGAAAGTTATTAGTTTAGGCATTTTAGAAGTTGAATAAATTACTAATTATATATCTTACAGACACTTATAGATGAAACCATTTTTCATCATAAACAGTTACAGACAAATATTGATTTTTTGTTCAGGCTAAAAATTATTTGCAATCTACAGAAGAATCTACGCCACAGTTATTAAAGAACACCTCAGTACAGTCAATGACCCAAAACAAAAAGAAGGAATAAATCGATTATTTCTTTACTGAGTAAATCAACTAGAAAAAGGACAGCTTATAACTCGTTTGAGGTGTTTTATACTTTCAAATATACCACTGAATAACATGAGTAAACAAAAACTACTCATCCTGATGAGTAGATTTCGCTAACAAGATTTAAATTATCCAAACACTGAATAGCTACTTTGTTCACTTTAAGTCGAGTGTATCAGTGAAATAACTAAATGAATTGCATTCACAGAACCGAATTATTTAAATCAAATAAACCTGACTGGCTGAATTGAATGAACCGGCACGCCATGAATAGAATGTTCATTCCATCAATCAATCCTATTTTATTTTT